TATGTAGATATAAATCCATATGTATTCCTGTTAACCCTTTGGGGCCTAGTTCCTGGGCCTTTTGTGTATCCATATGCTCTCGCGCTACCGTCCACAGGATGGATATGGGGTGCACAATAAACTAGCCACTTCGGTGGCAAAATCTAATCTAATCTAAAATCTGACGTGGGGGTTCTAGGAGATAGAGGTGTAGTAATACACTTGGGTACAGCTGGTAACACTTATATTTGCAGGGCCGTGAGGGGAAACTCAGCCTAGCCTTGTCCTTGCCTGTGGGTCTATCCGGGAACTGAGAGAGGCAGGGCAACTGACGCTCACATGTGGCATCACGTGAAGTCACATGCTAGCCCCTAGGCCTAGCAAGGGATCGTCCATATAAAATATATAGATGGTACTAACTACGATACTCGGATATGCTACACAAACATATTACAGGGGATCAGCAATGATGCTGACACAAGTACATGTACAAGGTATACAGATCACAGCTGACATCAATGACACACTACTGTATAGACAGCCCCTTGTTATGCAGAGCTTTTTGGTTAAATTAGGTCAGTTTTGTCCCAGGATGAGACCCACACCAGTCCACTAACACCCAGGTACCCATTTTCACTAATGAGTGAATATCGATAACCGGTGTAAGCAAACACGCCCAATGTTTTTACCCTTGCGGGAATCAAACCCGGACGGGCCCTCAGCGTGTGAAGCAAGAGCATTTGCCACGGGGCCACGAGCTCAATTCAAGGAACTGGAGCACAGATCCAATGCCCTAGATCAAGAGCCCTTCACCAGCATCGAGGAACCTCCCTGAAGAGTAATAATAGATACAATATGAGGTGAGGGCGAGGTAAAGTTCGTCAGGAAACAGGACACTTGTTATAATAAGAGTAAAATTAAGTGGATCAATCAAATACATGAACGTGATGTGGACTGAAGCGAGTACAAGAGTTCATCCAACCTGCCAAGTACACACTAACTACATTGATCTAAAGTCAGCTACAGTGTTGCTACACTTATGTAAGTAGTAACCTGAGCCCCAGAGTGCAGTGGAGGTGCGTAAAGCTGGTCTGAGCCACCTGGCTGCCGCCATGCCACCTTCTTGTTGGGTTTGTAAGGGCTACCGACGCTTCAGCAATATCGAGCCCTGCTTCCCGGTGCAAGTAAGATATATTGCTCAGAGCTGAGCCATGAAAGAAAAGGAAACAGGCGTCCCTGTGTATATAGAAAAAAACTAGACGTTTGCAATGAGATCAGGTGGACCTTCCTGCCGAGCCCCGGCAGAGCTAGAAAACCAACACTTACCTGAGTTCACTAACCGACTGCCCACAAATACCGTTAAAATAATTATCAGCAACACCCCCCCCCCACTCTTCATAGATCTAAACTTACTCCCTGTTCAGTACATCCACACTTACTACTGTGCAATCTACATCTACAGGACCTTAAATTCCAATATTAACCTTGACCTAAAACGCTTTCTTGATAGTTGTGACAGAACCCACAGGCACATCACCAGACAAACATCTCTATGACATTCCCCGTGTCAGACTAAACCTTTACAAAAATTCAATGTATGTCAAAGGCCCTAAAATCTGAAACACCCTACCTGAGAACTCTAGAACTGCAGACACATTCATCACCTTCAAAACTACCATTAGAAAACATCTTATCTCCCTGATACACCCTGTCAACTAACTACTCGAATACCACCTGGTGGTTAACACTTACACTCACTCACTCATTTGACCATAAACAGAAATATTAATCTCAATCTCAAAATAATGAATCTTAACTAGTCATAAGTTGGCCTGTGATACTCCAATACTGAAACTATGTATAGTGCCAAAACAAAAGCATTCACATTGCTAAACTCACAAACTAGTATTTAGTCACTTAGCCATAATACCAACTTACCTCATAATTTTGTAATATTTTAAACTTAAGATTTAATTTAAGTCTGCCCAAAATGCCTAGCCATGCTAGGTGTTCTAGTGGTACACTCTGTAATTATTTTACTACATGTAAACCACACAATAACCAAATTCTGTAAACTCAGCATTGTAATCCTTATAGAGAATAAACTTTGAATTGAATTGATTATTATAATCAAGAGGGAAGCGCTAAACCCGGAGGATTATACAGCGCCTGGGGGGGGGATGTGGAAGGCATTCAGGCTTTATTTGGGGAACTGGAGCACAGATCCAATTCCCTAAATCAAGAGCCCCTCACCATCAAGGATTATTATTATAATCAAGGGGGAAGCGCTAAACCCATAGGATTATACAGCGCCCGGGGGGGGGGATGTGGAAGGCATTCAGGCTTAATTCGGGGAACTGGAGCACAGATCCAATTCCCTAAATCAAGAGCCCCTCACCAACATCAAGGAACCTTCCATGAGGGGCCAACATCAAGGAACCTTCCATGAGGGGCCAACATCAAGGAACCTTCCATGAGGGGCCAACATCAAGGAACCTTCCATGAGGGGCCAACATCATGGAACCCATGAGGGGCCAACATCAAGGAACCTTCCTTGAGGGGTCAGCAGAGCGGAAAAATGGAAGTGACTAAAATTATTATTGATTCTTTATTTCAGCATAATACAATGTTTGCACAGAGATGAATAACATTAAGGTGTGCATGGAAAAAGCCCTTTAATATGCAGAGCATTTCGGGCAAATTTGGGAGCACCAAACCCCATAGGGATTATACAACGCTTGAACCAATGCCGAAATTCCTAGGCCTATACCTCGACAACAACCTGAATTTCAGCACCCATATCCAACACATCAAAAAAAGTATCCAAAACAGTTGGGATCCTCTCCAAGATACGATACTACATGCCGCAAAATGCCCTTCTCACTATACCATTCACTCATTTATCCATACCTCACCTAAGCTATTTGTGCTTGGGGATCCACTGCAGCAATAACTCAACAAAAAGCCGCAGTAAGAATAATCACTAAATCCCATCCCTGGCAACACCCCCCCTCTTCTTAGATCTAAACTTACTCCCTGTTCAGAACATCCACACTTACTACTGTGCAATCTACATCTACAGGACCTTAAATTTCAATATTAACCTTGACCTAAAATGCTTTCTTGATAGTTGTGACAGAACCCACAGGCATAACACCAGACACAAATATCTCTACGACATTCCCCGTGTCCGACTAAACCTTTACAAAAATTCAATGTATGTCAAAGGCCCGAAAATCTGGAACACCCTACCTGAAAACTCTAGAACTGCAGACACATTCATCACTTTCAAAACTACCGTTAGAAAACATCTTATCTCCCTGATACACCCCGTCAACTAACTACATAAAAACCACCTGGTGGTTCACACTTACACTAACTCACTCATCCATATGACTATAAGCACAGAAATACATATACATATACATATATACAATATACATAACAGCTTTGAGGCTGTGACACCCAAAAAAAGAATTTTGATTAATTTACTAATATTTTAGTAAGGCTTTTTGATAGAGATTCCGCACCATAGACTGTTAAAGAAAGTGGCAGCTTCATGGCATTGGGGGAAAAGTGCTCTCGTGGATCGAGTCATGGCTCACTGACAGGAAGCAAGAGTGTCCATAAATGGGTTAAATCCGAGTGGGGATCTGTAACAAGTGCTTCCAAAAAGGGATCAGTCTTGGGCCCGTTGTTGTTATAATAAATATCAATAACTTGATGAGGGAATACAGTGATATAGCAAATTCGCCGATGACACAAAGATAGGTAGGATAATTGATTCAAACGTAATGTTTAGGGAACATTCAGGAGGATTTATACAAACTCTATCTTGGTCAGAAAAGTGGCAGATGCAGTTCAATGTAGATAAATTCAAGGTTCTGAAGCTTGGGAGTGCCCATAACCCTAGTACTTATAAATTAAATGATGTAGAACTTAGCCATACAGATTGCGAAAGGACTTGGGTTATGGTTAGCAGCAACCTTTAAACCAAACAGCAATGCCTAAGCGTACGTAATAAGGCAAATAGATTACTGGGATTTATATCAAGAATGTAAGCAACAGAAGTCCAGAGTCATACTGCAGCTTTATACATCATTAGTAAGGACTCACCTGATATTATGCACTCAGTTCTGTCTCCGTATTACAAAATGGACATAAATTCGTTAGAAAACATTCAGCGTAGGATGGACTAAATTAATACCAAGATCAGAAATCTTCCTTATGAAGAAGATTTGAAGACTCTTAGTTACATTCACTTGTTAGACGAAGAATGAGGGAGACCTGATCGAAGTGTATAAGTGGAAGATAGTATTAAAAGGGGATATTAATAAGGTCTTGAGGATGTCTCTCCAAGAGAGAACGCGCAGTAATGGATTTAAATTAGGTAAGTTTAGATTTAGAAAGGACATAGGAAAGTATTGGTTTGGAAATAGGGTAGTTGATGAGATGGAACAGTCTACCTAGTTGGGTTATTGAGGCTGGGACTTTGGGTTCAATCTATGATAAGTACAATGATGGGAGGGTGATTTGAGTGGGACTTCAAAGCTTGCCTGTGATACCCCAATATAGAAATTTTATTGTGCCAAACAAAAGCTTCCATTGCTAAACTCACAATATATTTATCCTTAGTTTTTAGTCAACTTACCCCACATTTTGTAATAATTTAGGGTTAAGAATTAATCTAAGTTTGCCCAAAATGCCTAGCCATGCTAGGTGTTCTAGTGGCCCCCTCTGTAATTAGTATTTATTACATGTAAACCACACAATAACCAAAATCTGTAAACCCCCACATTGTAATCCTTATAGAGAATAAACTTTGATTTGATTGATTTGATTTGAAAATCAAGAGCCTCTCACCAACATCAGGGACCTACAGATGCCTTTTCTGTAATGTACCCAGCTTTCAATCCTTATGGGTCATACAGCACTGTGCAACAAGTACATTTGTTTTCTTAAATAACATTATTAGGAAACAATACAGTATTATAAAAATTATAGGTATGATTGAAAAAATATTGTAGGAGTAAATTTAATGGCAATTCTTATATAAAATATAAAGCTTCACAATAGGAAATCACATAAGACATTTTTACTGTAATATACCTTCTCCAGGACTAAAGTTCAGCTCTTTTTATTCCTGAATACCTTTATAGGTTACCTTGCTCACACTAAGAGCATGTCCATTACAAAACACTTGTCTCCAATCACACTCATGCCATATTACCTTGTGAGTTATGATTACTATAATAATAATAATCCTATCACACACATTCATAGAAGTCTGCTGGGTGCTCATGCCTCTAAGAGTCAAAGCCTCCTTTACTCCTACCCTCCAATCATACCTGGGTACATATACACAATTTAAGAGGCAGGGCCAGGACCTGAGAATTTATTCCTGCAAATAGGCAAGTACACATAGGCTTAGGTTAGATAAGAGTAAGTAGAGACAAATGATTATTATGATTTGACATGCTGTTGGAGTGTGAGCAAGGGTAACATTTATGAAAGGATTCAGGTGAAACTGGTTACCTGGATTTGAGTCCTGGAAATGGGAAGTACAGTGTCTGCAATCTGAAGGAGAGGTGGTGGTGGGAAGGACAGTGCATTGCACTCTGAAGGAGGGGTGGTTGCAGTTTAGGTCATCTGAGCTGTGATGTCAGCACCCTTCTGGGAAGACTGAGTGTATGAATGACACTGAAAGAGTTTCTTCTATTTCAGGTAACACTAATTTGGTGGGAGATATCTGGTGTTAAAAATATCACTATACTATTTTAAAAAATTAATATCAGCTATAAGAAAAAAAAAAAAATACTGTACAGTATGTTAACAGCCTTTTCAGAGAGCAAAAAATACTTTAACTATCTAGAAATGATCTAGCAATAGTGAATGTAACATACACTTGTTACCTGTGATATAATACTGTACCATACATATTTGAGGGAAGACTTTCTATCACAACTGTTGAGCAGTTCTAAGAGAAACATCTTGTACAAATGATCTTCAAGCACCACTGCATATAAAAACAGTTTTATCAAAACCTTACTGAAAAAGATTCAACTTACAACTGTATGACATGCCCGATGACAGTGGATTATAATATAATACAGTATAAAACAAATATCATTATTCCATACATGAAAGAACTGAAAGTGCTTATTCTTATTTGGTTTGTGGTGCTTAGTTATTGTTTTCTGAATGGCCATTCACCCACTAGTGACATAGTAGTGCACAACTCAGTTTTAGGATAAAGAGTAGAAGTAATGCATACTAATATTTTATAATCTTGGCACCTTGGTTAATTACCATTGCTCCCATGCTCCCCATCACCCATCCACACTACTCAGCTGGGTTTTGTTTACACATGAAAACATATTATTTTTAAAATTGTTTTACACATCGATTTTGAACTTAACCCTTCAGGGTCGAGAGGCCCTCTCCTAAACTTGTTCTCAGGGTCGAAAAATTTTCGGAAAAAAAAAAAAAAAAAATCTTATGAAATGATAGAGAATCTTTTCCCAATCATAATGACACCAAAAGTATGAAATTTGATGGAAAACTTACGGAATTATGCTCTCGCGAAGTTAGCGGTCTCGCCAATGTTTACGCATCCGCGATTCCGCCCACTTTGAGCCCTTATTTTTGGCCAATTCCTGTATACTAGTTGACAAAAATCATATTTATTTCGCTAGAACTCCATTTTTTTCTATCGAATAAGTACAAGGAAACCACCCATTTACCAATTTCAACTATCCAATACTGTAAAGTGGTTAGAAATTGGCAATTTTGCCAATTTCACACAAATTTCAGAAGATGCCAATTTCCAAATAGGGTCCAGAATAAACAAGAAAGACATTCCTGGCACTAAAATAACAAGTTTTCTGTTCATTAGTCACATCCCCAGGCCCCTCTTATATTTCTTTTGCTTTCCACTTTGAATTTTTATTCTTACAAAAAATAGAAGATTTACTGTTATGCAGACTACTGCATTAGTGTAGAAATGGTACAAATAATATCAGCGCACTTGGGTAAGAATATTAGACTCACCAGGTGACATGTATTGGACGCTTGGCATGATTTGTTTACTTTTGAACTTTGGTCAAAATCGAACATTTCTGCTACTTTGAGCTCAATTTCAAGGTACTTTTCATTGTGAAACCAGTCAAAATACCATAAATACCATACGAAAATACAGTGCAAAGTCGCTGTTTTAGTCCAAAAATACGGTCAAAGTTTTTTTTTTTCTCATTACGCACTGTGTGCTACAGGATTATTTTTATACTACGCACACTGACCACATAGACCCATTCTTTCATATGTAGGCCTACCAGTTTTTTCTCGCTAGATTTGAAGGCACTAGAATTTAGGCGTACTAGTACGTCAATAACCCTGGTGCGTAAGCTGTACTAGTACGTCGAAAACCCTGAAAGGGTTAATAACTAAAGTGTATTTGATATTATATAAAATCAAAAATTACAGTTCATTAGTGACAGCGGTAAGTGAAATACGTATGTAAAATTCATGAAAAGAAAGCTTTTTTTACCAGATATGAGTATGTAACATGCCAGGTAGTGCTGGATACTCATGCCTAAGTGCTTAAGAGAAGAGAAATTCAATAAATAAGGAGACTTAAGAAAATGAAAGGCAGTAAATATAACTCACCCTTTTGATGGAGTGTAAAAGATACCAGAACAATGTGTAAATTTAAAGCCCCCATTTTTTTCGCAGGGCTCCATTTTTTTTTAAACGAAAATACAAAAACCACCTTTTTTCAATTACACAATATTTTAAAGTTTTTCTTTTCCTTTACCAAATTTTGAAGAGAATTTTAGGGTCCAAATAAACAAAAACCCCCTTTGGCCTAAAAAACTTTTTTCGTTTTTACCCCCCCCCCCGGCCCCAACTTTTGCCCCCCTTTAAAAAAAAAAACAAAAAAAAAAGTTTATTTATCGTTGCATAGGTGAAATGGAAAAAAATTTATGGTGGGAAAATTTTGTAAGGTGTTATGGCGTTGGTGTTTTGTTTTTTTTTAACTTTGGGAAAAATAAAATTTTCCTCCCTTTTAAGGTTTTTCTTGGAAAAAAAAATACCAAAAACCCCCAACAAAAAAGTGAAAAATTTTTTTTTTATTTTTTTTAAATTTTTTTTTTTTTTTTTTTTTTTTAAATTTTATTTTTTTAACCCCCCCCTTTTTATTTAATTTTTTTTTTTTTATTTTTAAATTTTTTTTTTTTAATTTTTTTTTTTTAAATTTTTTTTTTTGGGTTAAAAATTTTAAAATATAAATTTTTTTTTAAATAATTTTTTTTTTTTTTTTTTTTTCCCAAAAAAATTTTTTTTTTTTTTTTCCCAAACATAAAATATTAATTTAAAACCAAACTGAAAAAGGCATGCACACTTACAACACTTCTTTTATTAAAGACTGGTGATGATTGATGGGATGGGAGGGGGGGGAGAGCATTATCTTTTTACTGTTTAAAAGGGGAAACCCCCTTCCTTGGATTGGGGAGTAAGCCCTTTTCTGGGGTTTTTTTCCCTTCTTCTTTTAATGCCACTGGGGGGCAGCTTCAAGCCCCACTGGACTTTTTTCGCACAAATATCTGTCCATGGGGGGGCCCTGTCCTCCTTTCCTTTATCACTTCCCTAAAGTGTTTCACAACTTTTTCATGTAAGGTTGCCAACACGGCTTGCAATAGCGGGTTGAGGGTTTTTTTACATGAAGGTTTTTCACTTAAAACCCACTTTGCACAGATTTTCCTTTTTTTTTTGTAGTGGAAAAACTTCTTCAATTTCTCTTTTCCCCCCTCCTCTGACCTTTTTCCCCAGGTCTGGGGCCTCTTGCCTTAAAAGTTATCATCGCTCATCATGGTTTTGTTCTTCATTGCCTCCTCCACCAACTCTTCCACATCCTCCCCACTAAACCTCCAACCCCAAGGATTTTTTTCCCCCCAATGCCAAATGGATTCCCAACTGGCACGATTCTCGGGTTTAGCCTAAAACCCTTCAAAATCCCTTTTGTCACACATTTTGGCCACAGTTTCTTCCAAGCAGAGTCAAGGTCCTCTTAGTCACTTTCCCCCCCAACCCTTTACCTTAAGGTTTACACAATTGAGGATATTAAAGTTCTCCCCAAAACTCTTTTAAGAGTTGATTTTCGGGGGCATACAAAGCCCCTTTTCAAACAGGTTTTTTGTGCAGTTTTTTAAAGGGGGAAAAACCTGCTGGTCCAGGGGCGCGGGAGAGGAGGGTTTAGGGGGGCAAAAACTTCCCCTTTAAATGAACCCTTTTGTCCCCATAAAGTCGCTCCTCCCCCGTTGTAGGAGACCAGGGGTTTTGTCTAACACCAGGAGGCATTTTAAAGTTCTAATTTTTTCAGTTGGGAAATTTTCACTTTTGGGGGAAAAATCTGGTGAAACCCGTATAGAAAAATTCCCTAGTGACCCCCCCAAATCCCTTTTTCTGTTTGCCCTTCCACACCCCCCCCACAAATTACCCTGAGGCTTTCTTTTCCTGAACGCCTGGGAGTTTCAGAGTGATACATAAAAAAGGGCTTCACTTTGCAATCACCAGTAGCTTTGGCACACATGAGAAGAGAAAGCCGTCTTTCATGGGTTTTTGTCCGGGAGTGCCTTTCCTCCGATAATGGGTCCTCTTGGCATTTTCTCCAAACAGGCCTGTTTCATCACAATTAACACTTGTTCAGGTTCAGCCCTTTCAGTTTCTATGTACTCCTTGAATTCCTGACATATTTTTCATGCGCGTACCCTTGTGGTCCGAATGCAGCCTCACCATCCTTATCACACTATGGATGCCACTAGCCTTTCAAATCTCTCAAACCAACCTTGCTGGCCAAATTCACGTCACATCATCAATAGTTGGCAGGCATTTTTTTAATTAAATCGTCATTGCAACTTCCTGCCCTTTTCACATATGATCGCTTAGAGACGCTATCTCCTGCTAGCTGATTTTTATTTACCAAAAATAAAGATTTAACTCTTCATAAACTTGCATTGTTGTTTCGAAAAACACAGTTACCTTGGCAGAACACTTTTGATTCTTTTAGTTGACATGTAGGAGCGTGGCATGATTGGGGGGTTTCTTGTACAACTTTGGTCCAAAATCAACTTTCTGCTACTTTCTAAATTTCAAGGTATTTTCATTGTGTAACGTTCATAAAGTTTCCCCATATTATTTCCAGAAAAGCACAGGCAAACACTGTAATAATCCCAAAAAATAGTCAAAGTGTTGCTTGATTTACGCGAGGCTGTGTGCTACAGGATTATTTGAGGCGGGCCCCTGACCACTTTAGGACCATTCTCGACATAATCGGTACGGTTTTTTAATCGGTAGATTGGGCAAAGAATTTAGGCGAATTAAGTAAGCGTCAATAACCTTGGTGCCTGTTATGCGTACTGTACGTCGAAAACCCTGAAAGGGTTAATACACTAAAGTGTCTACTTAGATATTACTATATATCAACACTTACAGTTCATACTAGTGACAGCGGTAAGTGAAATACATATGTAAATATCATGACAGAAAGCTTTTTACCAGATATGAGTATGTACAATGCCAGTGGTAGTGCTGGACCTACTCATGCCTAAGTGCTTAAGAGAAGAGAAATTCAATAAATAAGGTAGACTTAAGAAAATGAAGCGCAGTAAGTATAACTCACCTTATGATGGAGTGTAATGATACCAGAACAACTGTGTAAGATATAAAGCCCCCAAAAAATAACTTCTTAAGTACTATATTTTTTAAGTCACTGATTGTATATAAGCTGAATGCAAAATGTAAAAATTAATAATAATAATCTTTATTTCTACAAGTACATGTACAAGGTACACAGGCATAGCTTATATCAGTGGCATTCTGTATAGAAAACTTCTTGTTATGCAGAGCAAACTAGGTCAATTTTGTCCCCAGGATGCAACCCACACCAGTCAACTAACACCCAGGAATCTATTTTACTGAAAGGTAAACATAGACAGCAGGTACCTTGAGGAAACACGTCCTAATGTTTCTACCCATACTGGGATCAACCCCTGAACCTCACTGTGAAAGCTGAGTGCGCTAGCAATCAAGCTACAAGACACGGGCCAGGCCTACGACTTGAGTTGAGGGGGAGGTGACCCTAGGAATCAATGTAAATTAAGATAAACGTAAGAAACCTGAAAGTGAAAATGTTGAGATGTTACATAATAGTATATGTCACCTAACTGTACATTCCTTATCTAGGTATTAAATACTAAAAACTCTCATGTCTAAGGGTTGGGGTGCATACTTGTTGTGAGCGTGTTAAATCAGATTGAGTAAAGATAATTGACTTATGGCTTGATGGGATGCTGGAGTGTGAGCAGAGTAACATTTATGAAGTCTGGAAAACCAGTTAGCCAGACCTGAGCCCTGGAGGTGATAAATGCAGTGCCTGCACTCTGAAGAAGGGGTAGGGATGCTGCAATTTAGAGGGTCATTTGAATTATGATGTCTATGCACTTCTGGCAAGAGAGCTATTGAATAAGTTTACTTTTTTATTTAGTGGGAGATGGCCACCATTAAAAAAATAGCTTTCTACAGTTTAAAAAAAGGTTTCTATGAAGTTTCATAATCATTCAATATTAAAAAATAATAGACATTATGGCACAATCAAAAGATGAGGTTAGTACATACTTCTATATTCAATAACACTTCGCATGAATTATGGGCTGGAAGCATTGTTGCTCAAGATACAGGTATAGTACTGATTACGATTTTGCAATTCCATCTCGAAGCAGAGATCAAAGGCGAGAGGCATTAAAAAATATGATACTGCAGAATGTGACACATTTGAAAAGAGTATTATTTTTACTATATCCAAAGGGAAGCACTTAACATGTAATGGTCATATTGTCTGGAAAATATGAGGAAATCAGATTTGAGGCTAGCTCCAATTTCTTGGCTCAAGACTCCATGACAAGCATCAAGGAACCTTCCCTGGTGGCTGGGATAAGAATAATGACAAATCGGTTGACAAAAAAAAAAAAAAAAAAAAAAAAAAAAAAACACTGGAAGTGTGTATCCATTATAAGTAACTTCACATCACTTCTAGTGAAGAAATCATATACTATTGTTACTATGTAGTTGGTGATGAAAATTAAAAATTCAGAGAAGAGCTTCGATATAGGTACCTGCATGCCAGTCTCAATATTCTAGTCACTAGTTTCATAATGCCCTTCAACTTATCATAATGCTTTGATGCTTTCATCATTATTTACTCAAAAACAGTGCTAAACTCACATGGGTCACTCAGTGCTGACTCATATGTTCAATGTCTACTGCAAATAGATACTGTACTCTAAAGCGAAATTTGCTAAAGGACAGTTTACATAAGCATTAACGAAGAACATTTTATCATTTGGTAATTTTCTTATTTTTCATGTACAGTACAGATATTTTTAATGTGTCCTCAAAAAGTGGATGTTAAGTAATGCTTGAAGACCTGAAGCACTAGAGTGTTGTTGTTTGACTGCATATGCACAACAAGCAGGAAGAACAAAACATATTCTTTGGATTCTAACTTTAAGGTGGTGGTTTCAGAATGTCATGGAGCAGATCATTTGACAATTATGAAAAATGTTCTTGCATACTGTTACTCTAAAACAGAACAGAAATTTTTGTTCTAAGACATAGTTTGATAGCATGTTTCAAACACTTAATTTTTCTCATTACAATACAGCAGTTTTAGAATAAATAGTTATCGAAGATATTGACTAGCACATAAGGACACTTCAAAGTATCTGCTAAGTTTCTTAGGGAAAAAGGGGAGGGAGGGGGGAGAGAACACTGAACCTAAAGCCAGAGGTCTACTAAACAATATACACTGTCAGGTGGAGAACAGATATGGCAATACTGACAGCATGTAGATGAAGACCCACACACAGTTCGATATTTATTGAAGAAATATTTCACAAGTGACCTCTAAAGAAGCCACTGGTGGTGCAATGTTTCCTCAATAAATGTCATGAACTGTGCTAAGTGTCTATCATATACACCATTTTTTTTTATTTTCTGTTTATCACCTGCGATTCCCACCAAGGCAGTGGTGGCCGAAAGAAACTTTACATCATTGTCTTGCCAAGGGTGCTTTACACTAGTTTTTAAACTGCAACATTAACACCCCTCCTGCATTTTAGCTTGCTTATCCAGTTTGTCAGGTTGTCCTGTATATGGCATTGTAATATATGTAATTATTACAATATGTACTGGTATGAATGACAAAATGATGACAAAATCATCGAAACAGAAGAATAAAGGAATAAATGTATGAAATACTGAATAGGAAGTTCTGGCTAATGTTTACAGAAACAGACACTTTCGATGTACAATATTTGAGCCTCCAGACAACCAACTGAAACACAGAACAGAGAAATATTTAAATGCGAACTAAAGAAGCTACTACCAAATGTTGACATGAAGGAAGCAAGACAAGACAAGATAGCAGCACGATGTTTAAAAGATGTGTAGGAATTCTAAACTATTTACCGTATTTTATGGTGAACAAGACACTCTGGTGCTGAGGATGCCTCCTAATTCTGATTGGCTAAATTTTGAAAAAAAAAAAATAAAAAAAAAAAATAAATAAATAAATAAATAAATGGTGCTTCAGCTTCCAAGACGCTGGGTAAATTTTTGAGACTCTTTTTTGGGGTAAAAAAGAGCATCTCGACACTGTAAAATACAGTACTGTACTTTGAAAAATATTTGGGATTTCATTACAAAACAAGCAATCTAAAGGACAAATCGAAAATGACACATATTGCATAGTGTTTAATAAAAAAAAAAAAAAAAAAAAAAAAAAGAGACTGTTGTTAAAATATAGTACAGTACATAAATAGAAAAAGCCATTAGAGAAAAATGGATAAAAGCCTTGCAGAGCAAAAACCTGTTAATCAATTTGGTTTTCAATTAGCAAAATATTGCACATTATATAAAATCTATTAAGCAAGTATGAACCACAAAAAAATTTGAGAGAAAAAAAGTGGATGGGCAAAAACCATTTTTTTTATATACATTTGTATTATGAAAGCTTTCAATAATCCCCATTATAATAATAATAATAATAATAATGAGGAGCTTCAGAATGCCGCCACTAGTTGGCACAGTGCACTGTATACCTCGCTGTGGAAGAATTTCTCTCATGTTTTGCTTGCATTTTGTGCAGTTATTTTGCCAAATTTCTTTTTTCTAACCATGGGTCCTAAGAAAGTAAGTGCAAAGGACAGTGCTGAGAAGAAAAAGAGGATGATATCCACTGAATTAAAGCATGAAATCACAGATAAACACGAGCGAGGTGTGCGCGTTGTGTTGTGGAGTTTGCAAGGGCAGTACGAGCGCAGTACTTCTACTACAATGGTACTGCCTCGCATTAAGAGTGTAGCAATTAAGTTCAGTGATAAAGTGTAGCATTAAGAATGTAGCGAGTAGCCCATCTTTTCCACCCTCCACCTCCGCCAGTGTATGTACACTTTATAAAACCAGTTTATTTCTTTACATTCTCTATTATGTTTTATTATGTTTTCATACAATATTTCTTATTTATAAATATATACATTGTTTCAGTGTTTTCCTTATGAAACTAGTGATCTAGTGCAGTTAGCCTCACAAACACTGTTTTCAGAAGGGGAAGAATGGAAGATATGGTCAGTGCAGGAGCAGGAGGGGCCGCCACCACTCCTCACGTAATGACATATTTTATTCATTCTAGAGTACATATCATGTTTCTATGTTATTTATATTGTTTATTATGTCATATTAGATCAATTGTGATAGATAAATAAGCCGTATAGTTGATATTAGCGTTATATTGAAGTATTTTGTCCTGCCTTCCGAGAGCAGGAATTCCGCTGGAACATTAATGGTATTTCAATTAATTTAAATGAGGAAAACTGATTTGATGTACGAGCAAATTGTGTTACGAGCTAGGTCATGGAACGGATTGAACTCGTAAGTCGAGGTTCCACTGTATTGCACATCTGTTCCTTATTAATACATCACATTAATTCTTAAATGCTATGCTGGTATACTATCTATTGCACTGTTTACAGATATGAATCACAGAAACATTTAGTCTCATATCCTAGCTCTGAGCAGACCCAATTGTCTCTTGTGTGACAACCTTTTGCACATGATGATTTTTGGTGTAAAATCAGGCAGGTACATACATAGGGTAATTCATTTAGGCACAAACATATATGAAAATTTCAGTCAACAAAGACAGTTTTAACATGTTCCATTCAACTAAGTGATTTGAGCAGAACTTCTTCCATAATAAAATTTTTTATGCAACATTATAAAAAAAATGTATACTGTCACTGTCTTTCAATCATGTTCTAGAATTAATTCACAATAATAAATATAAGCAAATACCAAGTGTAATTTAGTTTTAATTATAAGATATTCACTTATTTTTAAACAAGAACTTTTAAGTGGTTTATACAAAAAAGAAGATTACTATTTCATGTTGTGCATGAAAGGCAATGTATACCTTTATAATCGAAGAATTAGCTATACATGTACCCCATACTGCAATGAATTTATTCTCAAAGTCCATATTAATTACATACCTATATAGACTTATATTATAGCAGTCTGATTACATAACAATAAAGGCAAATGCAACCTCTGTAATGTGTTTGCTCACACTGCACATGTGACCTATATAAGACCACTGCGCTGTGTTGCTGGCTTCTTGTATCATAAGTATAATTATGCAGAATCAATAAATAAAAAGATAGAATTCTGCTAAAATGCAATACTACTTAATTAAAGATAAACAATTCTAAAATTCATGAAATGGAAAAAAAACATGAGTGAAAATGACATGAGAGATTAATATTTCAGTATATTTTACCAGAGCATAGCACTCTTTATGAACATGTTGTACATGCTGTCATTTCAAGTACAGTTGGGTCTGACCAATGACTGAACAGGTGACCACATAGGATACAACCTTATCCATAGCTAGAACAATCATAAGCTACATGCTTCCTGTCTATGACAGGGTAGCCTATACATAAATCAGGCAATGACTAGTGGGTGGATAATCAAGTCTCCACCACAAGTTTAGCATTTCACACAAATACTATAATGATTTAATAATAATAATAATAACAATAATAATTTCAGAAGTTAAATTTCTTGAGCACCTGTTGTTGTTAGATCATAAGCTCTAGAAAAAGAGATGTGCTTTCAGCTGAGATAATAATGATAACAGAAATAAAAATAATAATATTAATAATGATGATAATAATAATGTTAATGAATCTAAATATTCCTATCCCATACCAGAACATCAGCAAGAAACAATAGTAACTAAATATATAGGAGTACATTACATGTATATGAATATAGAACTAAGTATACTCATAACACAATACAAAATACAATTGATGAGATTCTATCTATTTCTTGCTTAAAGATATTTAACTACAGTATTTTCTATTCTATCAGTTTCTCAATGCTCAAGAGTAACGATCAAGAAAGATACTGAAAATGAAATAGCACTATACATTAATTTTAAAATAAACATCAATTTTTAGCAGTAAATTTATATACCTCTTTATTACATAGTGAACATCACTTCATGCAGCCTAAGTAGTCAACTTTAGAAAAATAAATTTTATATATGTAATTTGCAATTTTTTATAGTCTATTAAACTGGCTGTCTCAGAGGTGATACCCTTTTAATATACCTTGAGATGTTTCTGAGGATTATCACTATTGTAGTTCAGTCTCTGAGATGCTGAATAAGGAGACAGAGGCACTGGAGAATATATTAGGCAAAACTGTTATACATAGAAAAAATGAGGACAGACATGGGAGGAGAGAGCTCTACATAAATATATTTGTAATAAACATACAGAAAGATCCAGGGATCATCACCCAGTGACCCAGTCATCGACCAGAGCTTCTAGTTATAAGCTTGGTCAGTCAGGCTGTCTGTGCTCACAGCCAACAGTTCAAAGCAGGAATCACAACCTAGCTGGTCAGGAAATGCTTTAAGAATTTTGCAAAGTTCCCTTTTGAAGCAGTCTGGGATCTGTTGATAGATGCCCTTATATCTCAAGAGTAGTCTTGGATCTTTTATTTTTATAAAGTTATGGCATAAACTGAGTGAGTGCAGTAATAAGAAATTTAAGTGGTAAGACCAGCAGGGATGGTTGGAATTAAAACAGAAATGCTGAAAGCAGGTGAGGCTATAAATTGCTGGAACAGCTGATGTATTTACTCATTATGAGGATAGTGAGGCTCAGGTTAGGGTGTGTAGAAGAGACGGAGATTACTTCCCGGTAAAAGTACATCTTATACAGGGATGTGTAATGTCACCATGGCTGTTTAATATTTTATAGATGCGGTTGTAAAAGAAGTAAATGCTAGGGTGTTCGGGAGAGGGGTGGGATTAAATTGTGGGGAATCAAATACAAAATGGAATTGACACAGTTACTTTTTTCTGATGATACTGTGCTTATGGGAGATTCTAAAGAAAAATTGCAAAGGTTAGTGGATGAGTTTTGGTGAGTGTGTAAAGGTAGAAAGTTGAAAGTGAACATAGAAAAGAGTAAGGTGATGAGGGTATCAAATGATTTAGATAAAGAAAAATTAGATATCAAATTGGAGAGGAGGAGTATGGAAGAAGTGTATGTTTTTAGATATTTGGGAGTTGACGTGTCAGCGGATGGATTTATGAAGGATGAGGTTAATCATAGAATTGATGAAGGTAAAAAGGTGAGTAGTGCATTCAGGTATATGTGGAGACAAAAAACGTTATCTATGGAGGCAAAGAAGGAAATGTATGAAGTATAGTGGTACCAACACTCTTATATGGGTGTGAAGCTTGGGTTGTAAATGCTGCAGCGAGGAGACGGTTGGAGGCAGTGGAGATGTCCTGTCTAAGGGCAATGTGTGGTGTAAATATTATGCAGAAAATTCAGTGTGTGGAAATTAGTAGAAGGTGTGGAGTTAATAAAAGTACATGTATTAGTCAGAGGGCTGAAGAGGGGTTGTTGAGGTGGTTTGGTCATTTAGAGAGTTGGTCAAGTAGATAATGAGGCGTATAATCTATAGGAAAGGAAGGTGGGGTAGGGGTCATCCTCGAAAAGGTTGGAGGGAGGGGGTAAAGTAGGTTTTGTGGGCGAGGGGCTTGGACTTCCAGCAAGCATGCGTGAGCGTGTGAGATAGGAGTGAATGGAGACGAATGGTTTTTGAGATCTGACAAGCTAATGGAGTGTGAGCAGGGTAATATTTAGTGAAGGAATTCAGGGAAGCCGGTTATTTTTAAATAGCCGGACTTGAGTCCTTCAAATGGGAAGTACAATGCCTGCACTTTAACCCCTTCAGGGTCCAAGGCCAAAATCTGAAGTGGTGCCCCAGTGTCCAAGAATTTTCAAAAAAAAAAAAAAAAAAAAAAAAAATTGTTATTTTTTCTTATGAAATGGTAGAGAATCTTTTTGTGAAGGCAATAAAACAAAAAGTACGAAATTTTATGGAAACCTGACGAAATTATGCTCTCATGAATTTTGATAGTGTCAGCGATATTTACGAATCGCCGATTTTGCCAACTTTGACTCCCATTATAGGCCAATTACATTATTCCAGTCGACCAAATTCTTAGCTATTTCACTAGTATTACTTCTATTCTATCGATTGAGCACAAGAAATCACCAAGTCAACTGTTTCAACTACAAAATAGAGTGATCGGAAATTGGTAATTTGGACAATTTAACACAAAGTTCAAAATATTCCAATTTCAAAATAGGGTCCAGAATAAACAATGTAGGTATTCCTGACACTAAACTAACATTTCCTCTGTTCATTAGTTATGTTTTGAGGCTTTACAAATGAATTCCATTTTGATATTTTATTCACATAATGGATTTTTATTCAAACCAAAAAATAGAAGATTTACTGTTATGCAATATTGTAATAATTGTATAAATATCATCACCACATTTGCGAATGTATATTAGACCCACCAGCTGGCGTGTATTAGACGTGTGAGGTCGTTTGTTTACTCTTGAACATCGGCAAAAATTTAGCTTTTCCGCTAATTTGAGCTCAGTTTCAAGCCATTTCCAGTGCTAAAACCAATCAAAATCATCTCTGTTTCTGTAATATGTCTTCCATTTTATCAAATGAGACCAAGAAATCGCAAATACAACTATAAAAAACATATGAAAAAACACTGCAAAGACGCTGTTTTAATCGAAAATGATGGTCTCAGTTTTTTTTCTCTCATTACACACAGTGTGCTGCGGGATTTGTTTTATGTGGTACACACATACCACATAGATGTATTCTCTCATATCTAGGCCCAAATGTACCACTCACAATTTATCAGAGTGAGCTGAGCTCATTGCGTAGATCTACGGTTTGGACCCTGAACGTAAAGCCGTAGATCTACGGGACGGACCCTGAAAGGGTTAAAGGAGGGGTTTGGGATATTCGCAGTTTGGAGGGATATGTTGTGTATCTTTATATATATATGCTTCTAAACTGTTGTATTCCAAGCACCTCTGCAAAAACAGTGATTATGTGTGAGTGAGGTGAAAGTGTTGAATGATGATGAAAGTATTTTCTTTTTGGGTCACCTAGCCTCGGTGGGAGACGTCAAACTTTTTTTTTTTTTTTAACAAATCGGCCGTCTCCCACCAAGGCAGGGTGACCCAAAAAAGAAAGAAAATCCCCAAACTTGTTAAAAAAAAAAAAGTGTGGAGCTACTAAAAGTATTAGTCAGAGGGCTGAAGAGGGGTTGTTGAGGTGGTTTGGTCATTTAGAGAGAATGGATCAAAGTAGAATGACATAGCGTATAAATCTGTAAGGAAAGGAAGACGGGGTAGGGGTCATCCTCGAAAAGGTTGGAGGGAGGGGGTAAAAGAGGTTTTGTGGGTGAGGGGCTGGGACTTCCGGCAAGCATGAATGAACGCGTTAGATAGGAGTGAATGGAGATGAATGGTTTTCGGGACCTGATGAGCTGTTGGATTGTGAGCAGGATAATATTTTGTCAAGGGATTCAGGGAAACTGGAAGTACAATGCCTGCACTTTGAAGGAGGGGTTTGGGATACTGGCAGTTTGGAGGGACTTCTAAACTGTCGTATCTGAGCACCTCTGCAAAGACAGTGATTATGTTGGAATGTGTGCAAAGTAACATTTATGAAGGGATTCAGGGTTAGTTGGACTCTAGTCCTGGAGGTGGGAATTACAGTGCCTGTGCTTTGAATGAAGGAGGGGTGTAGACATGTTGCAGTTTTTGAACCGTAGTGTCAGCAAGCCTCTGGAAAGATGGTGATGGAGTGAGTGATGATGAAGTGTTTCTTCTTTTCTTGGGTCACCCTACTTCAGTGGGAAATGGCTTATGTGTTAATAAAAAATATATATAAAAATACTGTATTATTATAAACTTAAATCAAGTCCTTTTTTTTTTTATAAAGCTTCTCTTTGTAGATGCAAATAAACTTGTATATTGTACACAGTATATGGAAAAATACACAATGGTGACAAGCGATGACGTGCTACCAGTACATTCATCAAGAGAAGAAATATTTTAACATTCTCTAACATTACTTGCAAAACTGTGTGTGTCATCTCTGTTGTTTATAGTAAAGTCATACATACAAAACTTATATACACCAAACATTTGTCTTACTACCTACATATATGATGGTAAATGCACTTCTCAAAAACAATAAAATAATTGCATCTAAACTTTTTTCTCACAGTGTAACCACTGTATATCATACAACACAAAATAAGGACTGCCAGCTTACAGGTGTGATGTAAAATTCTACCTTACATACATACAGTATAACACAGAATCTCTTCTACAGTTTTACCTCTTCATTACAAACTGGCTTAAAAAATTAAACTAAAAGAATCAATTATATCTTACAATTTTTGCAAATTTACAACAGTCAGCCAATTTAAGAAGTTTCATTTAGCATTTTTTGTTTCAATAACCAAAAATGTCCAGAAACTGTCAATGCATTAATCTGCATAATTAGCCAACTATGGCAGTGTTATAACAAGGAAACCTGAGACCCCTTAATAAAAATAACAACATTGCTACAAGTACTAGGTACATCAATACTGACAAACTGGAATAAAGATTTGTATGCACTACTTGAACATTTTATTAGACATTTAACCATCTGAGAAATTTTCAATCTAGCTTTTGGTAAAAAAAGACTCCACTGAATGGTGCAACATCTGCTTAATAAAATGACCTAAGTGTTGCATACATATCTTTATTCTATACAACAACAATCTTTTTTTTTTGTACAACTACAGTTCGTTCAATAGTTAAGCAATCATTTAAAAATTAAACTAAAATATTTTTCTCCATCAATAAGGCATGTTCCAGCACTCATGTAAGTCACTTTCAGACACAAAGTTTTAGTTTAATTGTTCTTTTAGTTATATTTGTACCCCTTTTGTTGCTACAGCCAAGAGAATGCATTTTAAAATAATTTGCAGGCAGTAGTTGTACTAATACTGATACATGTAGCAACTTGTGGAATACTGTAAGCAATTTTTATCAGAATAATGTAGAATATAATGCACTATACACATCATTGTAACCTAGTATCTTGATTACAGCATAAGTAAAACTGAACTAAAAGTGCACTAATTAAAAAAAAAATTCTTATAAAATAGGTCAAAATTTTACTCACACATCACACACATAGACACACTAAAAATAATAATAAATTATAATAATAAAAGTAAAAAAGTTTACAAGGCCAGGGCCTGGCATATTCAAGATGGTTTGCCATGGTGATATCAGCACTGCTAATTGTAGAAACTCTAGTAACTAGTTTAGTCTCAAAGTACATTTAAATTATTTTCTCTCATATATCACAAACAGTAATATATTGAATTCATTGAAACTTAATCCACTGATAAAGTGAGAGTAAACACTGTAAGACTTTATTTGCTGACAATTAGATCTTAGTTTTTGTAGAGGATGGTATAAAATACCAAAAAGTTGATGATTAAAACATGTGTGACAGTTGCGTACCTTTACTGTTGAAACATTTTGCTTACACAGTAGGCTTCTTCAGTCAAATACAGAGGCAGCAGGTGTAGCAGTGAAATGAGGATGTAATCAGTCCATCAACTATTTCTCCAAGGATGGTGGACTAACTGCATCATTTTCATTTCACTGCTACATCTGCTGCCTGTGTATTTGACTGAAGAAGCCTACTGTGTATGTGACACATTTCAACAATAAAGATACCCAGTTGTCGTACATGTGTTTAATTCATCAGATCCAACTTAATGGTACAAAAAGTCAAAACATGATTTCTAAGAGCTTTTTGAAAGAATATCTGCCAGAAAGTATTGACTCTCACTCACAAGGGGTTGTTCTCGCTTACTAGGGTGTTACACCATTTAAGCTAGAAAATTTTGAATCATGTTCCAAAACAACAAATTATTGTAAGCTTAATAGTCTCAATGATTCTTCTAATCGAGTATTCTAGTTCTGGCACCTAAGAAAGTTAACTTAACATCATTTGAGCAATTTCCCACTAGGAAAGCAATCTTTTAATATTAGAAACATTGCTTCGGTCAGAATGACTAAAATGACTAACTTCTGCCAATCCTCATTTTTCATTGGATTTAGCCATTGGCCTCATACTTGGTCAAAAAATTATTTTTTAAAAATAGTAGAGAACTGTGTCACTTATTACGAAGAACAGACATACACAGCAGTACAGTACCGAATACTGAAGTAGTTCTTTCATTTATCTTAATAAGAACCAACTTGTTCCCAGTATTGTATAAGACAATAAAATAAAACTCAAAACATATAATTCTTTAAGCATTCTCTTTCAGGCTGGTGTTTGCCTTCATTCACACCTACATAAGTCTGCTTGGTAATAATACACTAGCATCAAGATTATGATAGAGGCATAAATGTAAGTATGATCTACAATTAAGCAAATACATATTTCCACTCATTAAAGATCTTACCTCTTTTTTGGAAGGTAGAACAATACAGTAGCTTAATAACATTATTGCAACTTAGTTATTAAAAGTTTTTATTATTAAGGCACTTAGTAGAAGTCAATTAGTAGCACCAAACAGTGTCTAGTATACCAGTGTCTATGACTTAGTCTGAATAACTCACATAATTATCAATATTCCAGACTGTTGGATTCTAGTTTTCTACGTTTACCTTCATGCTTTTTTTTTATTGACAAAGCTTTCAATTCTTTGTAATGGTGCTAATAACATTGGGTCTGAGTCATGCACCTGAAAAGGAGAATAAAAATTAATAGTAATAATATAGCATTAAAAATGTAGTTATCACTGGCACATAAAATAACATTACCAGCACAGTATTAAATACAGGAATGTGCTTAAAAAAAAGGTGCCCCAGATAGCCGAGACAAAATATTATTTTTAATTTTTTCTTTAAGACTGACCATCTCACACCGAGGTAGGGTGATGCAAAAAAGTGGAATCATCTTCGGTTATTCATTCAATTACTGTCTTGCCAAAAGTGTTCTAACATCACAGTTCAGATGTACCTCTGAACTGCAACATTCCCACCTCCTCTTCAGAGTGCAGGCGATGTACAGTCATGTACCACATAATGAAGTTTCGGTCAATGATAGAACGTATATAAGACAGTGGTTCCATAAATTATAACGTACATGAAAGTTCTGTAATGCCAGCAGCAGCATCTTGTGCTTGATTTAATTTCATGTTATTTTGTTCATCACAGCCCCTAAGCTTACAAAATTTAGTGAAGGCAAGGGCTGGTCATCTCCATAGGGAAGTGGAACAGAATTCTTCCTCTTTAAGCCATGCATGTCGTAAGAGGTGATTAAAATGCTGGGAGCAAGAGGCTAGTAACCCTTCTCCTGTACACATTACTAAAGTTAAAAAGAGAAACTTTCGTTTTTCTTTTTGGGCCACCCTGCTTTGGTGGGATACGGCTGGTTTGTTGAGAGGAAGAAGGCCAGGTCATGGACCAAGCTGCAGGGGCACTGACCTTCGGAACACCCTCCTGGTAAGGGTTTAGCAGAGGCTTTGGCAAACCTCAACAAGATCCTTAAAAAGGTTTGAAAACATTCACACAACGAAATTGCATAACCACACATTTCTCAGAACATATCCCGTCATTAACCCTTAAACTGTCCAAACGTAGATCTATGTTCACTCGCACAGCACTCTGAATATGGATCTACATTTTATTTTACATGCTTTCAAATGTAAAAAAAAAAAAAAAAAAAAAAAAAAAAAAAATAAAAAAAAAAAAAAAAAATCTACGTTCAGAGCGCTACGCAAGTGAACATAGATCTAAGTTTGTACAGTTTAAGGATTAAAAGATGCATGACTGTACTTTCAATCTCCATGACTCAAGTTCAGCAAACTGCTTTTCCTGAATCCCTTCATAAATGTTACATTGCTGCAACATTTAAAAGCCATGCCTCAACTCACCTCATGCTCACACAAGCCTATTGGATGTCCAAGCCCTTAGCACTCAAAACCTCTAAACCCTCCCTCTACCCTTTCCTAAAATGGCCCCTACCAATCTTTTACTTCGCCCCAGATTTATATGCCCTCCTAGTCATTCTATTTTGCTCCATCCTCTCTAAATGCCCAAACCACATCAACAATCTCTCCTCAGCTCTCTGAATAATACTTCTGCTAGCCCCAAACCCCTTAAAAACTCCAAATTCTCTGCATAATATTCATACCACACAGTACCCTCAAACCCATGATAATATTCATACCACACAGTGCCCTCAAACTCATTCTACTGCCTCCAGCCTCCTCCTGGCCACAACATTTAAAACCTATATTTCACATTTTTCTTTATAACTCAATATTGTCTTCTACCAAGGCAGGGAAATCCAAAAACAAAACACAGTCAGCCATCATTTTTTTCAATTACTGTCTCTCCAGAGGTGTGCATAGATCACAATCAGATTACCCTCTGACTGCAATATTCCCACCTCCAGGATTCAAGTCTGACTAATCCATTACCCTGAATCCCTTTATAAAAGTTACCTTTCTCACACTCCAACTTACCCTGCCTCGGTGGGATACAGTCAGTTTGTTGAAAAAATAACTTAGAATCCATTCACCCCTCCCTAATTCATGACTAAAGGTCAAAATTCAGTAAGAAAATAGCTGCAACCTATGATATATTACACTGTATTGTATTTTTTTTTTTTTTTTATCACACTGGCCGATTCCCACCAAGGCAAGGTGGCCCGAAAAAGAAAAACTTTCACCATCATTCACTGTATTGTAGTAGTATGTTATTTTCTAGACAGTAATACAAAATGGAATTTTTTCATATTTACAATTATGCAAGCTTCAGGCATTCACAAATGATGTTAAGATTATAAATACTACCCTAATAAGAGCTATAAACAAAAATATTCTGTTACACATAATAAAGCATACCTGTAAAAACTTTCTCACATCATTAATTTTGGCAAGAGTTTCTGTTGTTGACGGGATGGACAGCTGTCTCTTAATTTTAAAGTGTGAATCCTTGAGCTCTTCATCTTCATATTCTTGCCTAATGACTGTGCTGCTGTAGGAATGGCATATACCACCCTGTCTTCTTGTTCTCTGAGATTCTTCATTTATTCTTTGTGGAAAGTTTCCACCAGTCATATCCAAAGATTCCATTTCAGCAGTTTGTGCAACAGATGCTTCTTTCACTATATGTTTTGGTAATGCTCCTCCACTTGCACCAGACATCCACGATGCGTTCCTATTATCAACTACATCAAATGTTTCTTCAGAAGGATTTTCATACTCATCTTGAACTTCAAGGAACATATTTCTGAAATTTTAAAAAATCATATTAATATTTTTTACCGCAACAACCCCTCACCCACTAAGAAGAAACACCATCACTCATTCAACTGCTGTCTTGCCAGACAGTTGCCTTTACCCCTTCTCCAGAGTGCAGGAACTGCTCTTCCCAACTCCAGGACTCAAGTTTGGTTAGTAGATTTCCCTGAATCCCTTCATAAATGCTACCTTGATCACGCTCCACAGAACATCCATTTAAAATCACTTGTTTCCATTCACTCCTATGTAACACATACGCACAGCACATGCCTGCTGGATGCTAAAGCCCCTAACATTCAAAGCCTCCATTGCCCTTTCATATTCTTCTTGGAATGACCCTTATCCCTCTCAGCTTCCACCCCAGATTTATACACCATCTTCATTTACTAAGATGAAAAAAGAGAAAATCTCATTTGATGTTCAACAATACAATATTAAGATTGGTAACACTGTTTAAGAATACTGTGCTTAACCCTTTGACTGTTGAAGGCCCAATCCTGAAGTGCCTCCTGATGTCGCAAAATATTCGAAAAAAAATAATCTTAACATTTTCTTATGAAAATGTTAAGATTATTTTTCTGATTGTTTTAGTCCCAAAAAAAAAATTCCCATCAGTACTTACCGAGATATAGAGGCGCGAAGTTTGCAGAAAATGAGCGGCGTATGGCAACACCGGCAACTGCCGCTCACCCCGTAAACTTTGGTTTACTTTTATTCGACAATTTCTTGTTTTTTTTTTTTCACTATTTTATTTTTTCACATAATTTTTGTGGCTTGTGAGACCAAAGTGGGGTGCAATGTTCATATATACACTCGTTGAATGTAACACAATTATAGCAAAAACATTAGTTTCATCATAATGTTCATAAAACTTGTTTACACAAACAATATAAAAAATTGTTTATTACGATTGTTCTATAGTATATATACATATGTACAATCACTTGACACTTTTCTAGAACTGCTGCAGCTTGTGGAATTCTTTGAAACATGGGTACAGTATAAGCACAATGGTGTTTTACACTCCCCACACATAAAACGAGTGTCTCTGCGTTTTTGTGGGCGTTTTGTGGTATGTCTCACAGACAAAACACCTCTTCTGAGCATTTTTCTTGAGAGCAGTAGCAGGCAGTGGTATGGGGTAGTGATCACCAGGCCTCAGACGAGAGTACATGTGTTGATAATTTCGTGGGCGCTGGTCTATTGCAAGTGTTGTTCCTTGGTACTTGAATATTATTTGTCTGATGACTGACAAACAAAATTCACCGTATTTGGGTTTGTTGTTGGTCTTCAACTTATACATATTATAAGCATTCAGCATGGAAATGTCAAGAAGATGGAAAAAGAGTTTTATGTACCACTTATAACTCTTGCGAACACAGTCAGCAAACCCAATCTGGATGTCACATTTGTCCACTAAGTGCATATTGAGGTTGTAATCCATCACAGCTGCAGGTTTTACAATGGGTTCATTGGTCTCTCTATTCTGCTTGCCACTGTCTACCATTTCATGTCAGTGAACTGATGTCAACAGTGTGACATCACGTTTGTCATGCCACCAAAATGCCATGATGTCATTGGCAGCAAACACCTGCACCTCACCTCTACGACTGCCAGCGTCAAACCTAGGCATATGCTTACAATTTCCACGCACTGTGCCACACACATCTGTCATGTTCACTCGCAAGAAATCACTGAGTAAGGGGCTTGTGTACCAGTTGTCAGTATATAAAATATGCCCCTTACCAAGATATGGTTCTATCATTGTTCTAACCACATCACCAGAGATACCCAGTAACTTCCTAGTATCTTGCAATGTTTTACTGCCAGTGTACACAATTATATCCAAAACCAGACCAGTTTTGCAATCACACAGAACAAATAACTTTATACCAAAGCGTTTCCTCTTGCTTGGTATATCCTGCTTGAATGAGAGTCTTCCTTTCAACAAAATCCAAGACTCATCAATAACAAGCTTCCTGAAGGGATAAAAATACATACAGCACTTTTGTTTCAGGTACATAAACACATTTCTGATCTTATATAACCTGCTGCTTCTGTCAGGCCTTGTTTTGTCTGAAATTTGTAGCATACGTAACAGTAACACAAATCTATTCACTGGTATAATGTCACTGAAAGCTGGGGTTGAAATCAGGCAGTCTGTCGACCAGTATATGTTGACAGTGTGCTTATACACACATGGCATAAGCATTATTGAGGAAAAGAACAGATACATCTCTGCCACAGTTGTGTCCTTCCACTGGTGTAGGCGTGATCTTGGTGAAAGAATTGTGTTTGCCATGGTGTACTCAAAGTATGTATTGCTTTCCCTTACAATAATGCCCATCAGGGGTTCATTGAAGAACAACTGAAAACATTCCAGTTCAGTGGCACTGTTCCCAAGTGTACATGATGGCCGTATTCCACTTTGTGTTTCATCAAAGTTATGGGGACTGGGAACAAACTCGTCACCTTGCTGCCAATCCCAGATGCGGTCAGCTGGTGGGTTCCGGATATTGAAACGTGGTTGTGGTTGTGCAGGTTGTGGCTGTTGTGGGATTGTGGGGTTGGGTGAGGCTGGTTGTAATTGTGCTGAGTCAGCAGCGTCGGTAGTAGCGTGGCCCGCTGCTGGTGCCACATGACTCATGCCACCATCACTATCACCACCACGCCTGCTGCCTCGCTCACATCATTCATACCCATCATAACAATATCATCATCTTCACTATCAGGTCGTGGTGTAGGGCCACGGGATGTGCTACGAGATTTACTCCTTTCCCTTGGAACAGCATATGGCACACTACCAGACTGCAAGCGACGTCATATATACTGCTGCTTCACTGGGGAATATTCACCCTCACTGTCGCAACTAGAATTGCTTTCAATAGCTTTGAAATCACTATCACTATCTGTGGCATGCAAAGAGTACGTAACCTTTATTCGGCGCATGTACACACCCTCATTTACAGGCTATTCTCCCCAACCAGCGAACCAGGTGACCAAGGGTTGACGATGGGGCCCCGTCGTTCAACCAGTACCCAGGTTCCAGCCAATGAGAAGATGGTTTTGGCAATCTCAGAGGTTATGTGGGTACCACTCTCCTGTCTGCCCTTGTCATTCCCATTCTAGAGCTGGTTGAAGCACGGTCTGCTCTCTAGTGGCTTCTATTCTGCCTTGCTTACCGTGGAGTGCACTAATATCTATTGCTGTACATAGTGTATATAGTGTACATACTTCTGTTCTAAATTGGTGAAGGATAATATAAGTCAAAAGTTTTCTGCTGTTTATTTTGCTCCCTTTACACCCATGATAACAGGCCATTTGGACTCCTGGGTTGTAATACTATCACTTTCGCTGCTCACATCTGAGTCTCATACACAGGCAAATAGTTTCTTCTTTCGTCCTGGTACAGGTGAACATGAACGAGCCGGCCCAGCACCAGAGGTGGAAGGTTGTGGGTCATCTGGGTTTTCATCACTAATTACGTTATTCTGGGCACTGTTTTCGGTCACACCCGCTTGAAAACCAGGGAATTCACTTTCACTGACACTTTCATCGCTATTAGAGCTATCATTTGGGAACAAAAGACCTCCGCCGAGGAGCGAGGAACTTCTTACCGCGAGGCATGGTGAAAATGGACTACCAAGATGGCGTTCCCACAATGCACCGCTGAGTCCCAGATTTTTTTCGCAGGGTGCACACCCACCACTCAGACCCATTCTCTCTCATGTAGGCCTACTAGCCCTCTCCCGCTTGATTTGAAGCCACTAGAATTTATGCGTATAGATACGTCAAACACAGCATCTCGTAAGACATACATATACCACTTAAGAATACAACCTCTGGTGAATAAGACACATGTGCAACACTTTTCTTTTTACCTTAACAGACATCTCCAGCCAAGGCAGGGTGACCGGACAAAAATACATTAATTCAACTGCCGTCCTTCCACAAGTGTGCTGACATCACAATCACACTTCCTTCCAAATGTAACATATTCACCCCAGGCATTGCCCTTCCCACATCCAGGACTCAAGTCTAGCTAACCAGTGTTCCTGAATCCCTTCATAAATGCTATCTTGCTCACACTCCAACAGTATGTCTATTAGAAATCCACTTGTCGTCATTTATTCCTGTCTAACATGCTCATACAGGTCTCCTGGATGTCCTTTTTTACATTCAGTCCTTAAAACTGAAAAGCCTCTTTTATCCCTCCATCCCTCAAATCATTCCTGGGATGATTTATATAACATCTTAATCAACCTATCCTTGTTGATCTTCTCCACATACACAAACCACCTCAACCCCTCCTCAGCCCTCTGAATTATACCCTCTGTGATCCCACATCACCTTTTAATTTCTACACTCTTGAATTCTCTGCATGAAATTCACACCACACACTGCTCACAAACACATCTCTGTTGCCTCCAGTTCCCTCCATGCTTCAGCACTGAAAACCTATGCCCCCCCCCACCCCACACACATACAAAGGTTTAGTACCAGTATACATTTACTTTTTCACTTACACAAACTACTTTCTTTTCACAGATGCCTCAATGTACCACCTACCTTTTTTTCCTAATCTATTCTGTCTATTCTACGGTTCACTTCATCTTTCACTTTCCATCCGGGCGATTTTATTGCCTAAATATTTCGGAAATAAAGACACCCAAGTGTTGCACATGTCTTCTTCATCAACTTGTTGGTTTTGTATACCATCAATAATATTGCCTTTTCGTTTTACCTTTCTTTGCATCAGGTTTGGACCTACCATTTTCAGCTTACTATGTCTCTTTCCAACTTCCATTTTGCAGCAAGGAAGCTTCATTTTTCTTTCACTATCTGGGAATTCTGATATTTCTGCTTTGAAGCATAAGTTCAAAGAACCACAATAATGACAGCTGACATATGTTAGCTGAAGCCTACACAAAAGAACAAGTAGCTTTTCATACTCTGAGATCGGGTTCTTAAGAATCCTCTCACCAATACGCCCAAATCACATGGTATGCAACTATCAAATGGAAGGTGAAAACTTAAAAGTGCTGGGGCACCTAAACAGGAAACTCATAAATTGTATAACTGGGCAATGTAATAACAGAACTGCAATGAAGATGCACTTGGTCTAAATACACTTCAGTCCTCCTTCATTGCTGGTTCTTAATAATACCCTCCATCTTTAAATTAGGAATGGTCGAAGTCAATGTCCTGCTAGGTAGAATCTCATGCATTGCAAACATACTCACACATACGGAAGTCCCAGGCAACAACCTATATAACACTTCATAATCTCAAACAAAATCATTAAACACCAAACATATGTGAAGAGCCATCAATGTCGGGATCTAGAGGCCCATCTACCTACACTGTGAAATCCCTGAATTGTTGTTTGGGCATATTTCCTAGGGACCCACTGCATTAATAGATGTATGAGAATACAGAAAGAGGCATGCAACTAATGACTGAACTTTTTTTTTTTTCAACAAGTCGGCCGTCTCCCACCGAGGCAGGGTGACTCAAAGAGAAAGAAAATCCCCAAAAAGAAAATACTTTTATCATCATTCAACACTTTCACCTCACTCACACATAATCACTGTTTGCAGAGGTGCCCAGAATACAACAGCTTAGAAGTATATTTATTTTTATTATCACACTGGCCGATTCCCACCAAGGCAGGGTGGCCCGAAAAAGAAAAACTTTCACCATCATTCACTCCATCACTGTCTTGCCAGAAGGGTGCTTTACACTACAGTTTTTAAACTGCAACATTAACACCCCTCCTTCAGAGTGCAGGCACTGTACTTCCCATCTCCAGGACTCAAGTCCGGCTCGCCGGTTTCCCTGAACCCCTTCATAAATGTTACTTTGCTCACACTCCAACAGCACGTCAAGTATTAAAAACCATTTGTCTCCATTCACTCCTATCAAACACGCTCACGCATGCCTGCTGGAAGTCCAAGCCCCTCGCACACAAAACCTCCTTTACCCCCTCCCTCCAACCTTTCCTAGGCCGACCCCTACCCCGCCTTCCTTCCACTACAGACTGATACACTCTTGAAGTCATTCTGTTTCGCTCCATTCTCTCTACATGTCCGAACCACCTCAACAACCCTTCCTCAGCCCTCTGGACAACAGTTTTGGTATATACGTATATACGTATAAAAATACACAATATATCTCTCCAAACTGCCAATATCCCAAACCCCTCTTTTAGAGTGCAAACATTGTACTTCCCATTTCCAGGACTCAAGTCCGGTTATTGTTTTCATAAAAAATTGTTTTCATAATTTCATAATTGTTTTCATAAAAAATACTTTTAAAAGAACAATATAAAATTTACTAGTAAATGCTTAACATGATTAGCAAAATTCAGGAAAATTCTCAAGCAGTAAGAATGAAAGCTTATTTTTTAATAGAAATGCTTAAGTTTTTCAGGCAGACCTGGCTAAGAAGCACCAGGTCCTGTGATTCCAAGGATAATGTTTAAGTAACCACAGGGAGGTGAAATGAATACTGTACTTGAGCACTTTAATGTGATTATCTAAACATCTTCAGAAGACTGTAAATAGTTAAACAAAGTGCTCAAGCAGTTATCCTAGTATTTCCAAGTGCTCATTTAAGAATGTAAACATATGCATTACATACCCAGCTATAAAATGGTCAGGTAATTCATGAGGATCAGGGGTTGTTCCTCGTGATCCTTGGGTTTGCTCACTAAAGGAACGCTGCCATGGTTTTGGAAGCTGAGGAAGGCAGTTAGAATTTTGAGCATTGATAGGTTCAGGCAAAGAAATGCGCCTTCGGGTACGAGTGCCACTTAGACTGCGCACCCGGGGATGAGTGGCCACATTTTCCGAGTTGAAATCAGCAGGGTCAAATTCTTCTATACTTCTCTCTGAACAATTGCTAGCCCCACTACAGTTTCTGTGCCGTGTAACATAATAATTGTTATTCAAGTATGGGTCAGGTGTGGTTCCTTGGGAAATATTCCTGAGCTTTGCCTTACACTGATACACAGGAAATGGAAGTGGTGACGTAGCACCTTCCAAACTGCTTGTTGATTCTGAGAGAACACGTGACAAAGCACTCATATTTAAGGACCCCCTGAAAAATTACAACAAAAATTATTAGTTACCAATTTAAATAAAAATACTCAAACATGCAAGTGCTAATTGAATTATTTAGTGCTGTATCAATTAAGATCACATTAACGTAACTTTCAATGGAAGTGAAACAACATTTCACTTCTAGAATTTCTGAATTATACATTACAATAAATTTCATACAGTACTTAGCCCCTGTATCAGATAATACAATGTATACAATAAACCCAATCCGGTGATACAATTATGCAGAATTAAAGTGCTTATGAAAACAGAAATGTTTTAATGTTAGCAAAAGGTCAGCAAAACATGGTCAACTCAAACTTGCATATCATTGCCTATAGCTGGACTTGCATGGAACATACAATGTTAGTGGCAACAAGTACTGCTTTTGTGAATGCTGTGAAGAAAAACCTACTGCTGTTCATGGCAATGGCATTATTTCATTCTAATAAACTCATAGTAAAGCTACAAATGATCAGTGAGAAAATTTGCTTCAAGGTTAATTTTTTTTTTTCAACAAGTCGGCCATCTCCTACCAAAGCAGGGTGACCCAAAAAGAGAGAAAATCCCCAAAAAGAAAATACTTTCATCATCATTCAACACTTTCACCTCACTCATACATAATCAAGATTAATGAATGTGTTTAATGCCATTACTTATGATGTTAATAGACAAATATTATCCTACAGTAGCAGCACTGCCAGAAGTATTATTAACCCTTTCCGAGTCCGTGCCATAGATCTATGGCTTTACATTGAGGGTCCAAACCGTAGATCTACGTCATGAGCTCAGCTCACTCTGATAAGCTGTGAGTGGTAAATTTTGGCCTAGATATGAGAGCATACATCTATGTGGTATGTGTGCACTACAAAAAACAAATCCTGCAGCACATAGTGCATAATGAGAGGAAAAACTGAGACCGTAATTTTCTATTAAAACAGCAACTTTGCAGTGTTTTTTATGTTTTTTACAGCTGTATTTGTGATTTCTTGGTCTCATTTGATAGAATGGAAGATATATTACAGAAATAGATATGATCTTGATTGGTTTTAGTACTGGAAATGGCTTGAAACCGAGCTCAAAGTAGTGGAAATCTTAAATTTTTGCCGATGTTCAAGAGTAAACAAATGACCTCACACGTCTAATACACGCCTTCTGGTGGGTCTAATATACGTTCACAAATGTGGTGATATTATTTATACAATTATTACAATATTGCATAACAGTAAATCTTTTATTTTTTGGTTTGAATAAAAATTCATTATGTGAATAAAATATCAAAATGGAATTCATTTGTAAAGCCTGAAAACATAACTAATGAACAGAGGAAATGTTAGTTTAGTGCCAGGAATGTCTGCATTGTTTATTCTGGACCCTATTTTGAAATTGGAATATTTTGAACTTTGTGTTAAATTGGCCAAATTACCAATTTCCGATCGCTTTATTTTGTAGTTGAAATAGTTGATTTGGCGATTTCTTGTGCTCAATCAATAGAATAGAAGTAATACTAGTGAAATAGCTAAGAATTTGGTTGACTGGAATAATGTAATTGGCCTAAAATGGGAGTCAAAGTCGGCAAAATCGCTGATGTGTAAATATCACCGACGCATCAAAATTCGCAAGAGCATAATTTCGTCAATTTTCTATCAAATTTCGTACTTTTTGTTTTATTACCTTCAGAAAAAGATTCTCTACCATTTCATAAGAAAAAATAACAAAATTATTTTTTGAAAATTCTTGGACACTGGTGCACACTTTGAAATTTGGCCTCTGGACCCTGAAAGGGTTAATGCAACATGCAATAAAAATGAAAGAATACAGTTGACTCGTGAAATTGTAATAACATGATTGCAAACAAATCACAGAACAGGTGAGGCTCAAACTCTGCCATGGGTTCAAGCTCCAGCCATTCTATGGTTTGAATATTGTTAAATTAGACACATGTGCAACACTTAGGCATCTTACATTGTCTTTAAGCTGAAGGACTGATTACCTCAAACTCCTTCTGATCTTCACTAGTTTTCTTTGTATTGGGCTGATGAAGCCACTATGTGGCAAAATGTTTCCTCAATAAAGATACCCAAGTGTTCTTTGAATCATATATCTATGATTTAAATATTGTAGGAAATTACACACCCATAAAGCCCAGCCTTGGGTGAAACACAGTCCAGTATTAAAAAGGATTCATTGCTAGTAATGTATTTCCACATCCATATGAGCCATAGGGATATTAGGAAAGGCAGGGTAGGGGTCATCCCTGAAAAGGCTGGAGGGATGGGGTTAAAGAGGTTTTGTGGGTGAGGAGTTTGGACTTCCAGCAAACGTGCATGAGTGTGTAGATAGGAGTGAATGGAGACGAATGATTTTTGGGACCTGACGAACTGTTGGAGTGTGAGCAGGGTAATATTTTGTGAAGGGATTCAGGGAAACCAGTTAGCTGGACTTGAGTCTTGGAAATGGGAAGTACAATGCCTGCACTTTAAAGGAGGGATTCAGAATATTGGCAGTTTGGAGGGACATTTAAACTGTTGTATCTGAGTGCCTCTTCAAAGAGTGATTATGTATGAGTGATGGTGAAAGTGCTGAATGATGATGAAAGTTTTCTTTCTTTTTGAGTCACTCTGCCTCGGTGGGAAACGGTCAATGTGTTAAAAAAATTTAATCTATTTGCTGTGTATACTGGGTAAAATGTATGGTAAAATTATTATTAAAAGAGGTTGAGGTAAGATAGAAAATAGGATTGCAAAGGAGTAAAGAGGATGTAGGAAGGGTGGGAGATATGTAAAAATGTAAAAAAAAAAAGTACAACATTTACATTGAAGCCATTAATGAAGAGTACTTAGATAAGTTTAAGAATGATTTATTGCATTTATGAATTTAGAAAAGAAATATGATAGGGTGGATTGGAAAGCAATATGGTAAATGCTGAAAATGTATAACAGAACAGCTAATATGTTACTAAGAGTAAAGAATTTTTATGCAGAAAGCAAACCTCACATCTATGAGAGAAGGAGATTCTTTCCCAGTAAAAGTAGGCCCTTCACTAGTTAACATGTTGTGATTTCACCATGGTTGTTTAGCATATTTATAGACAGAGATGTAAAAGTGACTGCCTGGGTGTTGGAGAGAGGTGTGGGACTGAAAAATAATGAATATGATACAAAATGGGACTTATCACAATTGCTTTTTGCCAGTGACACTTCTCTTGGGAGATTCTGGGCTGACGTTGCAAAAGCTGGTGGATGAACTTGGAAGTGTGTGTAAAAGAAAATTAAAAGTGAACACAGAAAATAGCAAAAGCCATGAAAGTACCAAAAAAATCTATGCAATAAGAGACCAGATATCAGGTCAGAAGGAGAAAGTACAGATGAAGTGAATGTATTTAGGTATTTGGGAGTGAACATGTTGACAGATGGGTCTATGAAAGAAAAAGGTGAAAGAGGGAATAAACGAGATGAAAAAAGGTAAGTGGAGTATTGAGGTATTTGTGAAAAGAAATAAGTTAATTTATGGAGGCAAAAACAGGTAATTTGCCACAGTACACAGTGATATCAACACTTTTATACAAGTCTGAGGCATGGGCTGAAACTCTGAAGTGAGGAGGAGGCAGAAGGCAGAGGAGATACCATGTTTGAGAGTAATGTGTGGTGTGAATATTATGAAGAGAATTTGGAGAGTTGAAATTAGAAAATAGTTTAGGGCTACCAAAGGTATAATTCAGCTGGCTGAATAAGGATTGCTGAAATGGTCTGGGCATTTAGAGAATGAAGCAGGATAGGCTGACCAAGTGGGTGTACATATCAGGGGTGGAAGGAGGGGTAAGGGTCATCACATGAAGTGCTGAGGGGGTAAAGGTTTCAAGGGCTAAGAGACTGAGCATCTGGCAGGCTTGTGAGTGTATTAGATCAGAGTGGGGACAGGTGAATTTTATGATGTTATGTACTATTAGAGTATTGGTCCTACAGCATTGAGCCCTACAGTAAAAATGTTGGATAATCAAAATTTGTATGAACAAATGTACTGTACTTCAAACAGACCCTGTTTAATGATGAAGGGACTCAGGGAAACCAGTTAGCCGGACTTGAGTTGTGGAGGTGGGAAGTACAGTGCTTGCACTCTGAAGGAGGTATGGGGTTATCTGCAGTTTTGAACAGGCAATACAATGAGTGAGTGATGATGAAAGTGTTTCTTCTTTCCTGGGTCACCCTACCTTGGCAGGAGACGGCCAGTTTGTTTAAAAAAAAAAATTATATTTTCAGTGATTTTCCCGAGGAAAGGGTAGGACCCCACTAGCCCTCCCTGGCCTGTCCTAAACCATGACCAATCATTCTTGGTTATATTTTATCTGGGAAATAGGGTAAAACCTCAATTTTTTGTGTGATGGATTCAAAATGGAGGTAAAGTGTTATATAGGAGAGGACTGAGGGTATGATTAATGAACAGAGGAAAGGTTCCTTTAGTGGTTGGAATGTCTACAGTGTTTTTGGGCTCTGTTTTTAAACTGCATTCTTTTATATTTGTGTAAATTCACCAAATTAATGGCTTCTGTGTGCTAAAGGTAATTCTGATAGGTGAATGGACAGGTTTTTTGTTTAATCAACAGAAAAAAGGCATACTAGCAAACCAGACAGAAATTGGGTGGCACCAAGTATAAGAATTGGCTTAAAATAAAACGAAGTGGGTGACATCGCCAATACATAGTGTGCTCAGACTACCAATTTTGTGTGTGCATAATTCCATAAGTTTTCCATCAAATTTCACATTATTGGTGTCATTACCACCAGAAAGATTCTCTACCATTACTGAAGAAAAAGTAATTTTTTATTTCTTTAAAAAATCACTAAACTGTCAGCACTTTTAATTTCAGGGGTCACAACAGTGAAGGTTAAGGAAATAAGGCTCTGTTGTGTGGAATGGTAAATGATACCACATCAAAAGTCTTAAGCGAATCCTAACTACAGGAGGTATTCACTGTTTACTTACAATTTAGAGAGGAAA